GCACACATGTATCCGTAAGGCCTGCTAACTACCCGTTCCAAACATCTCGTGAACCTTGTCGCCCTATCTCCTATTCCTGCCGTCTGCTGCCCACGAGAGCATGTATGTTTTTTTTCTTGTTGTTGTTCTCGGATACTAAGAACCCCGATGTAAGGAGGATGTGGCGGGTCATTTTGGACTGCAAATCTCGGCATGGTCGAGTAGTCTCGGCGTTGACATGAATCCGAACCCTCACATCGCAGCAGGCGACCGAGAATCCGTCTGGGGCCTGGACGTCACACCGCACCCTTTTCTCCAACAGGCATTATGGCAAATCCAAATCTCATCTTGTCCGACGAAGAGTCGCATGGTTTCCAAGAAAGAGGGCTGGTATTGGGATGGTCGAGGCAAAGCACTGTTCTCCGTCGTGGGCATTAATTGGCCGCTGAGAGGAGAGCCAAGCAGCAGACCTCGTGTAGACTTCAAGTCCATGAGCTGATTGATGAAAGCTCCTGGATCAAAAGTCGGAGGTGGGCGCGATTGATCTTGTTCTACAGCTCTGGTTTGTGGGCAATCCATTTCAGAGCTAGTGGTGCTGCGGTGTGATATGACGCCTCAGAGGATTGTCTATCGCGACTTGGGTTGAATCTTGCGACATCCGAATGGATCCGAGGATTCGCAGAGCAGCGCCACAACCCATCCCAGAGCCCAACCCACAGAAAGCCGATGACCGCTGACGGTGCAGCGACATAAGTGGGCCTTTGTACACACATGTGTGTACAATGACCCACAAAACACCGGGTGGCGGGCGAAACGGCCCCGGCGTCGTGGTGTTTTGGCACAAGCAAGAGGAGGAGGAAAAGGAAGACGAGGACGAAGCCCCTCTCTTACCCCCTCCTACCTAAAAGTCCAGCGGGAGGGTTTGTAGTAGGCAGGCAAGGTAAGCACGCAGTCCCTTCCATGTTCTCTGGGCTGCAAGAGGGAAGGGATGTCGCAGGAGAAGGAGGTAGGTTCTTCGGGACTGCCGCAGGTTTGCAGCAAGCAAAGGTAGCGAGCGGTACGCCGGACGGACACTACGGCGCACAGGCCGCTGTAGCTACAGTGGCTACCTCCCGATTTGTGCGCCAATTTTGGCAGCAAGCCTCTGACAATGTTCAGTGCCTGGCCGCTAAAAGCGCTGGAGCCGTGCAACAATCATTCCTCCCACACCTGATACCCATCGTGCCATCGCCGTGTCAGCCAGCATCTTGGTCCCTAACAGGATATCATTTTCTGTCTTATTCATGCCCAGAATGACAGCTATCGATGATAATCTTGATTGGTCCCAGTCTTCTTTCTTATACTGTCGGTTCTCGTCATCTCCGCCCCGCCGCCTCGATCCTTGAGCATAGAAACATTGACCCCGCCGATCCAAACAAGACCCAAAGAACTGGTAGCACCGCTGACCGCTTCCAAAGGCGCAGTTTTCCGAATTCACCGGCCACTTTCTCATGCATTATGTTGGAACATGGAATCATACTTCAGCAATTGCAACCCGCCGGGCGATACTCAACTTGAGAATGTGTGCCGAATCTCTTTGCGACCAAGGTCATCTACCTTGGCTATCTGCCCGGGTGTTGGACCCGTTCGGGCAGACAGTTCTATGCGGACTGGTCTTCTTTTGTAATACGCCGCTGACTGCAAATACGAAGCAGTGGGCTCGGTGGAAGTTCGCTTTCCAAGTGGCAATTTCAACGCCTAACAAACCCTCTCGAAATCGCAGTGCCCGGTGGGGTCTGGCGATACAACCCGCCCTACTTAGACTCTTCGGGCATGAAAACATTCTTGATTTGTTGATAGATCCTCTGGTGACTGTCTCCATGCAAATAACTGCGTCCCACGCCCTTGATGAAGCTATCAAATGCAGCATATATGGAAGGCTCCCCCTGTATATTTTGGCTAAGATAGATAGGGAGGACTTGCTCCTCTCGTTCTGGTCTGCGTGGGCTTTTGGGGGGAGCTCCAGTCTGGGGCTGAGAGGTGTGCTGGCTCTTGGGTAGTGTGGCGACTGGGACTTCATGACGCGTTGGGAACGACGAATTACAGGTGTATGTGAAAATATGAGGCAGCAATATGGACTATAATGATGGTTGATAGATAGAAAGTCAAAAAAGGACTGCTCTAAGAAGATCACACGCATAAAGATGACTAAAGGAGACATGCTGAGAAAGATCACCACACAAAGCAGCCTGCCTCACGCACAGCCATAAGTCCAGTGCCCTGGCAGTTGTATGTGGTACTAAAGAGACTGGTTATTCCTGAATCCTTCTGGTGGGAACTCCTAATATAAATGGTTAAACTGTTGAATCTGCTTTCTAGAGTCTGAACCTTTCTACTGCATTATTCCCACGCGCCGGACGTGCCTAACGGAATCATCAATACATCTGCTGAAAAACTGTTCATCTACCAAATCTGCGTCTTTGAAGGCAAAGGAAGGGACATGATTCTTAATTCGTTAGATGTGATGTATTGACGGCGCGTTTCAAGGAATAATGCGAGAGTACTTGTTGATCTGTGGTGTGTGAGAGAGCAGATGGTTCCTAGGCAGCTCTGTTGTCGTTCACTTCATTAGGTCGATCTTAGCGGACATGTTTCCTTGATTTCTAATTTTAGTACTTCAGCTGTGGCTTGCTTGTTTGACCCTTTTTGAAGGGGGAAGGAGGCTTATCTGCCTCACCTCTGTCAGGCTGCCTATCGCTTCTAACCATGGATCATCCGCCCCTTTCCTAACTGTCGCCTTGAGTAATTTTTCGCAATGCGCAGTCTCCCATTTCCCTCTATCCTCACTGATTTTGTTTTGGCCATGGCCACCTGTACCGGCGTTGAACACAAACAGACAAAAGTTTCCACGTCACAGAGGCTCTGTTCGAGTGTTTGAACACGCTAACAATGGGCACTCGCTCATTCCATTTTCGGCGATGCTGTGCCCTTGTCACTCGTCGATGAGCAAGGCGGTGGCATCGCGGAGAAGTGGACGAGGATTGTCCGCACCTTCGATTTGGCAACTGCAGGTGTTGGAGCAGCAGTCAACCGGAAGTCCCTGGTAAGGCCCTGTTTTGCCTGTTTGGAAGGTTGCCATCACTTTCATTGACAATACCAATAGACGGATGTGACGAACAATGCCAGCAGAGACGACGGCCACAGCGACAGCAATGGCGACAAACAGCAGAAAGCAGACAAACCTCACGGAAGAAATTAATCGCTCTCGCACAGGAAGAATTGGGGGTCTCTTTGTGATAAGTATGTCCATGCTCTGGAGATGTTTGTCGATTTTGGTGGAAGTAACCAATACGCGGCGTTAGTAGCTGGACCCGATCTGCGAATGCGCAGATAATTCCGCCAAAATGTCCTGCCGTCTTTCAAGTGCGTCGCCTGTGGGCGGGATTGAATTCAGCCTAGCGAATTGAGTGGTTAAGCTTGATGGGCGCAACTTTCGTCTTCGTCTCGAGGTGTGCTAGTAGGCTTGAGGCAGCATGGGTTGTGAAAGATGCTGGGACGGGCGGTGCCAAGCAGACGGTTTTCGCGCAGATGCCGCTTGCGAAGCGAGCATCAGAAAAGTCACCCGTCAGGAAATTGTCAAGCAGCTCGTCGGCGGAGTCGTGCGTACACGCAGTCATGATCCCGATGGACGGCATGGTAGAGCATGTGTGTCACGGCGACTGCAGAAGGGGAGATACGTCGCCACAGAAAGCCCTGCTTCTCATTAGATGTGGCATCCCAGTACGCGGACATGTCTCCCTGACCTCTTCATGAACCGCCTCGCTGGTTGTGCGAATGCCGTTGCACCGTGCATTCGCTGTTGGTGTGATCGTTGCCGGCAGGCTTGGATCCGTTCCGATCACTGACCATGATGCCAATCCATGTATCTCTGGTGGCATACTGGTTTCAAGCAAGATGTTTGAGGGTGCGAGGCTGGCCAAAAATTGAAATGATGTTCTGGACTTCGTCGGGGCATGGATGAACATGACGTTTATGCGGACGGCCTTCTGACAACAGGACCAGACGAAGCATTCGGAAAGGGGCGTATTATCTCTGAAGACTTCGCGATGGCGGCAATGTAAGACCTCGCCCTAACAAAAATCATTGCGACAATGTACTGGCGGGCGGGCGAAAGGGACATACTTGGAACGCCAACGTCGCTCTGTTGCATTGTATCCCTGAGCTTGCCGCCCATGGGAAGAGCATCTGGACGAAGCCAAACCTCCCAGACAGACGGACGAAGTGGCGGCGATACGACCCCGCAGCTCAACATCGTGTTGATGCATGAGAATCTTGTGGATCTCTTCGCCGGCCATGATGACTGTTGCAAACTGTGGCGAGATCCTGAAGGCGGCAGGGATGTTCGAAATTCCGCCGGGCCTGTGGCAGGATTGTGCAGCTCCGTTGGCGTTCAGGGCACGTCACACATTGGGTTGGCTTGCCATGGGCAGACAAATGTGCAACGGAGCATTATCATTGACCCGGGGCGAAAAAGAAGTACCCCGATCTGGCTCATGATTGAACAAAGCAGACTGGCGGTGGTCATTTCATCGTTGCGCCTTTGTGCGAGAGAATTCGTCGCAGCATCAAAGAAATGCTCGCACAAAGTCTTCGACCCGTATTCTGAGGTCTTGCTCTTGACGACTCCCAAGTGCGTGGCCTCATTTGGTTGCTGCCATCTCCTGCCGAGGTACGTACCACAAGGTACCTAGGTGAGGCAAGGCAGGTAGATGGGTCCATACGGACTTGCCTACTTGGTGGCCCAGTCCAGCAGGAGTTTTCTGCGGAACACAAAAGCTCCCCCGTCGGTAGGAGATTTTAGGCCAGGCCGAGACACACTGACTTGTCCCCGTCTGTCTTTGCCAAAGTTTACGCCTTTTCGATTCAACACGCCATCCATCCCTCGATTTTGACCGACAGCAACCGTCACGGAGTCCACGCCAGCCTTGCGACAGAGTCTACCAACAAAAGCTCCAGGCAAATTGCGCCGCCAACTCAAGACAATGTTTGCCCCCTATCGCTCGCTTTTTCTCGACCCTGCTTGGCGCTCCGAGCACCTCCACGCCCCAGCCAAGTCTGCCTCCGCTCCGCCCCGCCTCAGCCGGTCTACAACCGACCTGCCCGACGACTCGGCCTACAGCCGCCAGACTCACGTACCCTATGGCTTCCAAACCATCTCAGCAGCGGGGCCCTATGAATTCGACTCGACCTAGCAGGCTGGGAAGGCCTCAGGGTGCCCGTTCCCGTCGAGAGAGAATGCGGGAGGTGGCGGACAGCCTTCACGCGTCGCAGGTAAGTCTTCGGCTTATGAATTTGTCGACGAACAGCCAGTACTGACCTATGCTCGACGCAGATTCGTACCGCGTGTTCGAGACGGACCGCTCGACCATACATGCTGCAACCCCGAGACAATACTCACGATATGCGCGCGCCCCGAGACCGACCAAGCAAGGACATCTCCAAAGATACCGAGACGAAGAAGAACAACTGCTGGAGACGGTAGAGCTCTCGGCCTGGCGCCCGCGAGCCGCAGACTGTGGCGTCGACTGTGATGACTGCCGCTCGAGCTACGATACCAGTCCTCCGTCCTGGCTGCTGGTCGAGGAACGGCCAAACAGCCCCGCTGACGACTGGGCCGAGTTTTGGTGCCAGGACAGTCGTCAAGCGTATGATGCCATCCTCTGCGCACTCCGCGCATCGATCGAGCTGCTGCGGAGTTTTCTTTCACGTGGCAGGAGGTGGCTGTCCCAGGCGCGGGAATCATTTTGAGGCTGTCGGTGTCCTGTCGGAGGTTTTGCACCATAAATTGTGAGGAGATTTCGATAGTGCCGAACGGCAGCGCAAGTGTCACCATGGCCAGATTTTGAGATTCTTGCAACAAATTAGCAATTGTCAACCGTGTCTTGCATCCTGACCTTAATGCTTGGTGAACTTGGTGCTTCGCCTCAAACACACAGGACGGGCGCAATGCAATGAGGAAATGCAGCCTTGGGGCCGGCCACCTTGATGGGTGTGTTGACGGCCCAGCAGCGGGCCCCAGCGCGCCTAGTGGGGGTACCTCCCAATTTCGGAGCTAGAATCGGGAGGTACGTTTACTGGATACCTCCCGATTTTTAGTGGTAAAATCGGGAGGTACCCTCTGTACAGTGCGCTTAGTGGATACCTCCCGATTTCTAGTGGTAAAATCGGGAGGTACCCTCTGTGCAGTGCGTTTAGTGGGCACCTCCCGATTTATAGCGGTAAAATCGGGAGGTACCCTCTGTACAGTGCGCTTAGTGGATAAGGTACCTCCCGATTTTTGGTGGTAAAATCGGGAGGAACCAACTCGACAGCACCAACGAGCTCCAGATTCCAGAGGTTTACCAAGCGATGATGCTGCGAACATGATGCTGCAAGTCTTGCCCCGCAAGAGCCTCTCTTAGAGGCCTCAATGGCCGAGCCACTGCTGAATCGGCATTGAACCCTTGACCGTTCTTGGAGACAAAATGACGCAAGGTGAGGTGGCTTGCGGTGGTGCAGGTTCAACGAATCATAGCTGATAATGAGTCCTAATCAGGCAGTGAGCATGACTTGCCGTTCCACACTTGCGGATGCAGATTTGTCGTGCAAATTTGTGCTTGCAGACCTGTGCATCCACACTTGTTCAGGGATGGACTCAGCAGCATCAGGTATGGATATGGGCATGGTCACGGTCGAGGATGAAGGGCTTGCTTTGGGACCGAGTTGACATTCAAACGGTCGCAGTGAAGCCACCTTGGCAGTGATTCCACAGTGGCTGACTGGACAAGTTCATGTCGAGATGTGGATCGTCCCGAGCCGTCCGTTCAACGAAGCAACGGCCCCGATTCCAAGTTGTCAGGACCACATCGTTTTGATGACGGACCCTCAAGACCTACAGGACGCGGGGGCTGCTTTTCGCAATTGGTGGAATTGTTTAACTGGGAGAAACGGGCGGTGGGAAGTCTACAGACGTGAGGTGATGGCCAACCGTGAGTTCCAGTTCCACTCGCACTCGAACTGTGCCGGAGGCAGGACCGTTCAATGCAACTGCCAAAAGAAGGAGCGTCAGCGAAATTTTGAAGTGTGACGTGACGCGACATGAACACTGGTGGGGTCCGAGGCACCTGCCCTCCCGCTGTCGCGCAGTCTCGCCTGCTGATGCCTTGAAGTAGTGTTTTGAAAAGGAAGGAGTGGTCGTTGATGCGGCTTCCTCCATTGACCCACCTCCGCAGACCCAGACCAAACACGCACTGCACCACACACCACGCTCGAAGGCCATACGAGCCAGCCGCAACGACCGCATCCAGACAGTTACTGTTCAAAAATACCACAAATTCAGCGAGCTCCTGAAATCGCGCATCAGACTGCCGTATGCATTTAGAGCACGTCCACCCGTAAGGAACCCGCAAGCAGCATGACGGACCGACGCAATGGCGCGACCGCCAGTGGTATCGCCTCCCGTCCCTGGTCCCCCGTGAGAGGCGCCAGTCCGATCTCCGGCAGTCCAGCTGAATGCCAAAGTCCAGTAAGTATTCCCAAAGTGTTAACGGCCCAGCTAACGGTCAATGTCTTGGCAGGACGAAACCCAAATTCACAACCTCTACGGCACCGGCCAATCGTCCGACGACGACGAATCCCGAACCCTTGATTTCGAGTTCGAGAGTGATTGCGGCCACAAGAAGTCTCAGATACCCAACTTCAAGCCGGCAGACCCGAAAAGCCACCAACAAGTTCAGCCTGACGACCTGAGCGACGATGAGAAAATGGAGGAGATTATCAGCCTGGCCCGGAGGCTCGCGGCGCTCGGGGTGCCCGCGTCGATCGATGGAGCGCTGTTGGATGAGGTGGACTTTCTCGTCGACTCTGCCAACAGAGTCGTCGATATTGTCGACGAGCAAGAAGACAAGGGAATACATTCGAGTCGTAGCCAGTCGGTTGAGCTCTGATGTTGTAGCTACTGCTTTAGTATGGGTAGGAAAGCCATGGGCGGGCAAGGGGACGGCGAGTGTCCAACATCCGCAGAGGGCGAGCACTATCGTTGCATGCTAAGGAAACAGCAGGGTGGAGGAGAAACCTTGGTGGTTGTCTGGAAGGCGTTTTGATTCATTCGGTATCATCATGAAGTTGCTAGCTGTATTTGCAGTATTCTGTCTCTCAATCCGATTGCGCTTTTCAGACAGGACATTTCCAATGTTCCTCTGCTGTGACTGTTTCAGAGGGCCTCGGGATTGCAAAGATGGGTTGACAGAACTTGGAAGCCGAGTCCGTTGGCGCTTCCAACCGAGCGGAAAGGAGGTTGACAAGAATGGCTTGACGACTTCCCTTCATCCCACGGGGGTGCCCATGCTGGACAGACCACATTGGTGGTTGCAGTCACCGTGGCTGGTGCCCCACCGCCGGAGTTTGCTCGGCTACAGTGGTGAGGTGAGTGTCCCAACAAGAGACTACTTCATCACCTACCCACGCCGCCACCTCGCCACGCCAAGAAAACCGTGAGATGAGGCTGGCCGGGTGGTGTGCACTGTGTTTCAAGACGTATGACAGTGGTCCACGAGACGGGGCGGTTCATGCAGTGAAGGTCAGACTGGGTTTGCACCACGTCAGAAGTCCCCGAATAGAGAGAGTCGCTGCCGTGGAGTCGCTACCGTGGAGTCGCTGCCGTCGGTGGAGTCGTTGCCGTCAGTGGAGTCGCTGCCGTCAGTGGAGTCGCTGCTATGGATAGAATACGTCGCTGCCGTCGGTGGAGTCGTTGCCGTTAGTGGAGTCGTTGCCGTCGGTGGAGTCGCTGCCGTCGGTGGAGTCGTTACCACGGGTGGAGTCGCTGCCACACTCATTTGGTCCCTGCCAGCCCCAAGTACCTGGAGCGGTGTCCATCTCCAGCTCGGATGTTCTCCATGCCCAAAGACTGCGAGAGGAAGACGAAAGACGGGGTTAGGGAAGGCACCAGCTGTCACTTGCAGTCTCTCCGTCGTCGTTATGCGATTGCCGCGGCTCCAGCCCACCTGGTCCCCTGATGGCGGCCGGCTCCTCCGGGGACCATTTTTGCCCTTTTGCCCTTTTGCCCGGTGCCGACCACTCAAGGGACCATTGCCATCACGGAGATTACAGGATTCCTGCACTTGAAGTTGGCACACATTCCGGCATGTCGGGTTCCAACTCGATGATGACGCAGCGTGATTTTTGGTGGCAGACGAGCAGACGACGCAGCCAACAAGCAGCGTGTTCCATTTTTTGTTTTGCCTTCTGTGGTACGGAAACCCCCTCATCCCCGCCTGGTCGGGTGTCTCTTTGCTGAAAATCGCAGCTGGTTGACCACAGTAGCTGGTCTCCGCAGGCAGTCTGTGCACTGGCCGCCACAGCGCCTGACCTGCTGTAACTACCTTACAGTGGCTCGGTACCTACCGATTCAAGCCGCTAAAATCGGTAGGTATGTATCCACTAACAGCGCTAGAACCGCCGCACACGCAGCCGTCCTAGTCCAGAACGCCAACCAACACAACAACACAGAGATTGCACCCCCGCCATAAACACCACCACGGGTGCGGACAACATCTTTGATTCTCATCGATAGACATATCTATGGTAAACCACCCTGATTCCAGGAAAGTATGCCTGAATCATCCGAAACGCCACTCTCTAGAATGGCCAAGGCCTGTCCAACACGTTTGCAGGCCACCTGCAGTGATGCAACGCGCTCTTCTGTCCTCGTGGTGGCTGCATCAACCAGGTTGGCGCTTCGAATGCCTGTGGCCGCTCAATGTCGCTGATCTGCTTGGAATTCGTCGACTTCGCTCTGTAAGGGCCCTCTCTGCTTGCGGCTTGATCTTCGAGCTTTTGCAGCAAGTTGCTCGACAGACCCATGCCTCGTCTGATCATGAAAGCCGCTGGTGTTGACCGTCGTGCTGCGGCTCGGTGCCTTTGCGCTGCTGCTGATTGCTGTCGTTCGACTCTTTGCAAAGCGGAGCGCCAGAGGGCTGAGCCTGGTCGGAGAGCTGGCTCTCACTAGTGGTATTTGCGATGACAGTCGTGGTTTCTGTGCTGGCGCCGGCGTCGCCAGTGACTCCTCGATCGAAAGCGAAGGCGTCGTCGTCGAGAGGGTGCTTCCTCAGCTAATGGAATGCAGGAGAGGGCAGGAGCTGCACAGTTTGTGGTGAGGAATTTGCGTCATATGTAGGCGCGGGAACATCTCACGTGACTGCCTTTCATCGTCACTACCTTCAGTGGATACCTTAAGGTACACTGCGGTAGATGCCTGCATCCCCAGATGAAATCTCGGTTATTCACTGCAGACCCACCACCAGTCTCGGTCAGGATCGGTGAAGGGCGGGCAGACATCGTGCACCATCTTCCCGTCCATATTTCGGTGTTCTCCGATCGCGTCCAGTCCAGCCAACCTGCCTCTGCAGTCCGTTCCAATCAAAAAATATGAAAGCCCCGTCTTTCTCCTCCGATAAGCCAATCGACGTGAGCGCGCGACATCACAGGCTTCCACGGGACAAATCAACGAACCCGTGGGCGCATCGCTCGCCAGCGGAACTGGTTGGCGGATTGACCGCCTGGGCATTTAGAGGGGGCGGTTAGATAGAGTATCGTCAATTTTCCCCGCAGCGACACAGAAGATGGTTGCCCTCTCGCACAAATACTCTTTCTGTGGTGTTGCTTATCCCATTCAAACGGACCTGGAAGGGAAGCGTGCGGTTTCATCGTTGGCGTGAGTCTGGTTGGACTTCGGTGCACCGTTGTTATGGTTAGCTATCCAATAGTAGGGTCTGCTAACAGAAGCTGGGGATTAATACGTTCTAATAGTATACTGGGTTATAGTCTAGGTCGAAGGTCGTAGGTTATAGTAGATCAGGTTTTTAGAAGCTAAAGTGATTAGTTTTAGGCTTAATAAGTGATTTATAGTGAAGGTAAGCTAAAAGTATTCTAAGGATAAATACTAAGTTAATTACTAAAGAGCTATAAAAGTCTAACTATAAGCTAAGCTTAAGGTTATACTATATATAAATCTTAAATAGTTCTTTTATTTAGTTACTAATTCCTAACTTAATATTAATAAATACTTAGTAATTACTAATAAGTATTTAGTAACCCTTACTAAACGCTTAATAATCTATACTATCTACTTAGTTTTATTTTATTATTATATAACTTATACTATAGTTTTTCTATTCTAATTAAGATCCTACTACTCCTATGATCTTATAGTATAAATATCCTATTATAGCTACTTATTACCTAAGTAGGTTAGTTAACTATTTATCTATATATAATAAGTTATAATATTAGGTCCCCTCTCTAAAGGTCTTATCCTTAAGACTTAATATAAGTAGGTTATTAATCCTAAGTTAGGGATCTATTAATCATACTTCCTATTTTTTACTTATAATACTAATATTATATTAGGTCGTATTATTAAAAATCCTATAATTTCTACACTTTATCGCTATTATTATTCTCTTAATATTGCTAAAAATAGTTTTAAGGTTATACCTTATTATCGCTATTACTTAAAAAGGCTTTACTGCAAAATACTACTAAGGTCCTTAGTTTATAGAGAGTATATCGCTATTAGTAGTACTTATTATTCTTATAATACCTCTAATAATATAATTTGCTAGTATAAATAGTATATACTTAGTTTTCTTCTTTAGCTAACTTATCTTATAATAGAGTAATTAATAGTAGAGTCTTATTATCTAGATAATAAAGAAGAAGAGATAGAAGAATTATTTTATAAAAGAATAGAGGTACTATAAAAAGTATAAATAGAAGTAAATAAAACGCTAGTAAAGTTAGATTATATTTATAAAGTAAAGAGAATAATTTTTAAAAAAAAGGTTATAAAGAGATATTAGTAATTATAGAGGAAGGTAAAGCTCTTAAGGTCCTTTCTATAAATTCTTCTATACTAGAGGTTCAGTCTATAAGTAGTTTTAGTGTAATAAACCTAGATTTAATTCTTAATTAAAATCTTAGTACTCCTAATTTTTTATTAGGGGAGTCTTAGTTATATTCTAAGGTTCTTAATTAAATAAGTAGTTTTCTTTATCTTAGTTAATCTACTTCTATTAGTAGTCTAACGTATTTATATAGGTACCTAATTTATTAGTAGCTGTTAATATTTATTTAACTAGTAGGTATTACTAATGCTAGTATAGTTTCCTATTCTTAGTATTATTACTAATAAATAGTAAGTTTATTAGTTATATTAGCAAAGTTTTTTATAAGTTCCTAAGTATTATCTTTATATCTATATCCTTTCTACTTAATAAGGTACTAATATCCTTTAGGTTCTTTTAGATAGTTAATAATATATTTAACTTTATACTCTAGCTTATTATTTTCTATAATAATAATATTACTTATTTATAATCCTTATAAAGCTAGTTTAAATAGTAAGATATAAAATACTAAATAATACTTTATAATATCTAGGAGTTTAAGCTTATAGTTAACTAGTAAAATAACTTATAAAATTCTAAAAGGTCTAAGTTTTTTAAAGTTAAGTTTATTACTTAGTTATTTTATTTTAATGTTTTACTATATAAAATAGGCGCTATCTCCCTCTTTTAAGGTTAATCCTTTAATCCTTTATTTATTACTAAATTAAGTTATTTATTATTATATAAATTTAAGTTCTTTATATACGTTTTCTTAGATATCCTTAATTTATCGCACTGAGGTAATAGCTTTTACTACAGCTAGTCCTACTTAAAGTTCTCTATAAGTAGTAGGTTTAAATCTATAGTTAAGGTAGAAAGGGAATTTCTTAGTATTTTCTCTAATTATATTATTATAAGTAAACTAAGCTATTAGTAGTAATATAACCTAATTATCTTAGTTATAATTAATATAAGTATAGAGATATATTTTAAGGATTTAGTTAATTTATTCTATTTATCTATTAGTTTATAGGTAAAATATAATAAATATTACTTACTTA